AGGGAGAGCAGAGGCTTCAAAACTCGTCCTGGTCTCCTCGTGTCCCGTCATCGATCTCCTCGTCTTCTGGCGGCGCGAAGCCCTCCTGCGAAACGGGGCTCACGTCAGTATTCATCCCCCCCGTGTCATTTCTGTTATGCTCTACGTAATGTGTCTTTTCCATACTTGTTTATATCTGGACTGTATTTCAGATTTTACTGCTGCCTTGCATCATCGGCAGCGTGGGACTACAGCAAGCAACACAAGCGGGGACAAGCAGGCCTCATTTAGGGCACACCAGACCAGGTACATGATTCAGTGGTCATAAAAAATCCAGATAAATAATAATGGTACGGTCATTTGTTACCAAATTTCTTCGTGACGCTAACTTAAGAGCGCCTCTCTGTGTGTGTGGTGAGCTGTATTCACCTCTGTGGCGTAGAGTATGTCTATGATTTTGCTGAGAACCGGGTTGTTTTCGCCGTCGTTCTCCTGGCAGATCAGCTCGATGTCTCTGAGCTTTCCGAAGTAGAAGTCCCTCTCCTTCTCCAATCCGTCTATGGTCAGTTTCATATCCATGATCTACGATTTACAGGCAGGAAGCAGCCACAGAAACGAAAAAAAGGTTAGAGGATAAATAAGTGGCAATAATCATGCTCATGTAAACAATCTTAAACAGGACATTTGCTAACAGAAGCTCCTGTGGAGTGAACAGGAAGCAGATTTTTTTATTTAAATCCTGAATGAAGTATCAGACTGTGACAGAATCTGAGGGCCTTGTACCTGCTGGTTGAGCTCGATGAGCTCGGCATCTCCTCCGTTCCGGGTCATGGGGGCGGTCCTCCGCGCGGGGGGAATGTTGATCTGCCTCTGTGGAGGGGGGACGCTCTTCGGCGCCGTGGGAGACGTTCTCATGGGGCCTAAACGACAGAAGCCCTTTGTTTGTGTTTCATTTGGGTTCTTTGGCCGTTCGCATGGTTAGTCGCCTCGTGCCTTCCCTGCTTTAAATGGCCCGGACTCGACGGGGGGCAGGTTTTTACACCCAACACCTTAAATGTTGTTAGTTTTATCAGTTCTCAAACGCCCGCTGGTTGTACAGTAACAATAAAAACGGAGCTAATCTGCAGCTGTTGTGTTTTCCGGACGCAAAAAAATGTGTCTGCCCTCCCTGCTCAGCCCCCCAAACTAAAAAAAAGCTGTTTCTAAACACGAGCAGCAGGCTCGAGCTGCAGATTTGGATGTGCGCAGCGCTCACACGTGCACTCGGCAGCAGGAGTTTCTCTGCAAAAGACGCAGAGAGAAACAGCCCCAGATGCTTCTCATAAAAAGCACCCAGGAGGCAGCGCATCTATTTTGCCACTGCGTTCCCTTTACTGCGCGTCCGGCCCCTGGGGAGAGAGCCATCATAACCCAGCCTGGCCCGCGCACCTGGGTGAGGCGGAGGGGGCGTTCCCTCCTGGCCCTGCCTCATCTGCAGGGGGTCGTAGTCTTTCCCGTCGTAGTTGGCGTCGAAGAACTTCTTGAACCACTGGAGGAACTCGAAGTTGTCCTGGAACTTGCCTTTCACCAGCCTCTCCACGGGGATGATCTGCGGAGGAAAAACGAGCGGGAGCACTGAATTTCTATCGTTCAACATTTTATTCGTGACACGCGGCTGTCGGAAGAATGTTTCAAAAGATCTTCTGCCTTCTCAGAAATACGTCAGTGTCCCTGGATGATTGTGCGACGGGCTGCTGAGCTCTCACCTTGTCCACATTCATTCTCTTGAATCCAGCCTGTAGCACCTTGAAATTATGGATGTATTCGTGCTCCAGCTTGGCATTGAACTTGACTTTCTTCAGCAATATGCACCCAGGAAACAGAATGTCCATGAACTGGCAGTAAGCATAGCCTGCAACGCAAACAGAGCCGAGCTTTTGAAAGCTGGACATTCGTTTTGAACTGGCGTTAACCGACAGAAGAGGCTGACGCTTACCTGTGCAGAGCTGTTCTATCTTTGTGTAGGTGAGCTGCAGAGAGTCGTTGACCCACGCCAGCATGTCATGCCGACTCAGGTTCTCTACAGTCATAGAGGTGGAGTAGACATTCACCGCCATCCTCCTGCTTCACACACAGAGGCACACAAGTCATTTCACCAGACGGAGGACCATTAAGCTTCATTCAGAGCGTAGAGAGAAAATGTTCTGCAGCAGCTGATCCATACGGCATGTTTTAACAATCCAAAAAGGTTGTCATCTTAGGATGGAACGATTTTGAAATGATTCATTTTACATGCAAACATCATATTCTGCTTTAAGAACATGAGACGGGGAAAAAAAACTCAGCCAGAAACCAAATAATTTGGCATTTGAATCTAAAAGTAATACACAAGTTTCCGTTTACATCTTAATCACAAGATAAGGAACACATCTCAAGTTATTCACAAAGTTCGGAGGGAATTTAGAAAATATTAATGGTAATTCTTCTGAAGACGGTAGTATGTATTCAGATTTATGAGGCTACAGCTTAAAGCGTAAACTGTATCATTCAAATGTCGTGCATCTTGCCTAATGCTGGATGCACCCTTTACCCACCTGTGCTGGGTGTGTGTCGGCGCGTACTGCTGAGAGCCGGGTTGTGCTTCCCCACCTTAGAGAAATGCCTGGTGGGTGGAAACCAGAAACTGTGTGAGATATCAAGCCTGACAACATTTGTACATCTTGTGAATGTGTATTTATCGGCCGCTCTAAAATTCACTGCCGATTTTCGCCATGTCTCTGCGTGCTGGAGGGTTGTGAGACCAAACACAAAACAACAAAGGGGTTCATTTTCTGTCATTTCATGGACTTTTCTTGCCTAAATCTATTCACCAGAGAAACATGTTTCAGATAAACTAGCAGCTTCTGGTTTATAAACTGGGCCACTAATCTCCGCCTCGGTTAATCCCTTTAACTCGGGTGTTAAACACGTTCTATCACAGTTCAGCACAGATCACCAGTGGCTGTGTCCAACAGGAATTTTTACAAAAATACATCAAAACAAGGGGAAAGTCCAACAACACTGACGCGTTTCCTGTGAGCGGACGCTCGCCAAAATAAACCCCATAAAGGAAGTCACACCGGACGATCGGGTCCTGCGACACGACAGAAACTCATTCTGATTAAAAGCATGTTGATTTAAGGCAATGTGCACTGTTAGCACTAACTAAATTTTACCTATGTGAACACAAATCTTCGTTAATTAAGCTACTTGAAACAAAACATTTTGTTGTTTTAAACCAATAAAACATGATTATGTAGTTTGCATTTCAGTAATTAATTGTATTTTTTTGTCAATAAACAAAGACATTTGAAGGCATCATTGATAAAATGACAGGAAGAATGATCTGCTCTGATAAAATGAGGTCTAATTTCAATAAGGTATGCGTTTTAGAGGCCACATTTCGTATTCTTATTTGATGTCTATTTAGCTGGTCCACTGGGCTGCTGTCGCATTAGACGCAGTACATGTTCTGCAATGGTGCTGCTGAAATATGCACGTCTTTCCCTAGAAAACAGGGAGTCAGTGTTCAAGATTTCCAAAAGGAATTTCAGATTTTAATCCATGAGGCGTCAGAAATGAACTCTTATTAGTTAATGAGCAGAGACAGACATGCAAACAATGTACACTCAAATGTCAAATTCAGAATATACCCAAAATTTGGGGATTTAGTTTAGAAATAAACACATTTAGAATGCAAAAATAATCCAGAGAACAATATTAAATTGTATTCAAATACTTAAATAAAGGCCTTTTAGTCATTACATAACTAACTTAAGGTATATGTTGCTTTAAACTTTTAAATTACCGTAAATGTACTATAGCAAAGTTGTTTCAAGGAAGTGTATACCGTAATAATAACATACCTCATATATTTAAGGCAATATGCTGTAGAAATTATCAATACATTTTAAACATAATAAAAAACTTTTTTTTTCCTGCGTAGGCAAAAATTATTTCAAAATGTTTCATTTTTTAATGTTCAGTCGATGTAAATTCGATATAAATTCCCCGAGCCTGTCGCCTTGTAGAGTGAGCTAGCATCGCCCCGGTCAGCAGTCTGAGGGCTGGACTTTGACAGTTCCGGTGTCGGGCGGTTTTACGGCTTAGAGCGGCCGTTTGGACAAGTTGACGTTACCGCTGTTAAACGGTGCGCGAGGCACCGCTGTCACTATGACGAACCAGCTAGCTACCGGCTAACTACGCACCCCCGTAAACGCTGCGTGTCGCCCGCAATAATTTTAAAGGACTCCCAGCTAATTTACTTTTACCAAGGCGGGTTCAGCAACTCCAAATATATCAACTGGAAAGGAGACTTTTCTCTACTCTAACCTTAACCCCCTCTGGAGGCCTTTTCGATAATACACAGGCACATCACCAATGAAAGAACGCCAGTCACTGATGGGACGGTTTCAGTATTTACCCGACATATTATCAAATCTGCGGCCAGACAACTCCACTTCCCCCCCCTAAGTGGTGCATTTTATCTAAAGTGAAATTGATTTCACTCACCGAGAAAAAACGCAGTCCCTGTCAGCCCCGGTCCTGTTGTTTCTGTTGATGGGCTTTCCGTTGCTATAACCCCGACGGTTGCCTCTCTAAGTTGCGCGAGACTGCTCCTACCTAAGCTGCTGCCTGTGCGCATGCGCCAAAGGCTGAATGATTTTTCACATTAGTTTGGATGAAACTGCACCCGTGGAGCAGCCATTATGGAGTTTTTCTAGCATTTTCACTGCTTTTTTAATATCTAGAGTATAACATGAAATCATCACTCAATAGTTATATGGACAGTCTCATTATCAGCAAATTCAGCTTGCAGTACAAAATTTTACTCTTTATTTGTAGATAATATCGAAACTGGGGAAATTGCATGCTCATTTTGAATCGATGCCAGATTTGTAACAGTTTTGATAATACTGCAAAATCATATCTCTAACCCACCAGTTAATTCTAACAATATAGTTTCATAATGATTTAATTAAATCATAACATGCTGAGCAAAACACCTAAACATCTAGCAATGCTTCTTCTGTATGCTTGAGATGCTTTCAAATGGATTGAATTTTGAAAATCACACTGAAAAATGTGGTTAATAAATGACCTAAAATCTAAAGAGGTGAGAGGCATGCTTATTTGCTTTCTGTGACCATTTGCAGCTAGATTCCTGCCAGGCACAGGATAATTTGCACATCTGTGAAGGGTCAATTAGTGCCAGAAAATAACAACTTTACTTTAATAATCTTTACAAGACTGAAAGCAACATATGCTGGGATTTAATGATTTGCTTTTTCTTTCATTTTTTTTAAAAGGTCAGCAAGACAAGACTAAAACACCAATCTGCATGTATTACAATAGTTTAAGTCTGTAAGCAGAGTACTGAACTTGACTATCTACATCCCTGCATACACTGGGAACTCTCGAAGAAAATTTGAGACAGATAGGAGGTAAGTCTTTGTAAACATTTAACTTACAGATCTACTCCCCGAAGAGAAGGATGGGGGGAAAAAAAGTAAAATATATTCACTAAACAAAACACGGCAATATGAATTCCACTTTTTGGACACATGACATGACTAAGTTTTATATTAATTCATTATCATAAACATAATTTATTCAGTCTAAGTGAGAGTGTATTAGTTTATGTTATATACCTCAATTATCTAGCCACAATTTCTATCCTTCTGAAAGGTTTCTTACTGTCAACATGCTTCTTCTATTCCGCCGACTTGTTTTTCCTGTGACTACATTTATGCGTAAAAAATGTGACGCGAGTCCAATCAGGAGGGTTCTTCTCTCTTTATTTATTTGCTGTTATTCTTGTGGTAAGAAACAAGCAGCAACATACAGATTCAGCACAACAACAACCTACAAACACACAGCCACTGAGGAATCACAGTGCCTTCAACAAAAACAGCAACATTAAAATAAGGAATCCTAGAAAAAAAACAGCACCAGTTTGCATGGTAATGTGCGGCCTTCGGGGGAGACTCTGCTCCTCCGTCTCCATGTGGTGCTCCTCATGCTTAGGTTACAGTGTGGCACAGGGTTTCCCCATTGGCACATTTATTTCTCAACAAAACATGAAGAAAAAAACAACCATCCTTGTTATATAGAGCACACGAATTTGTGATCATGTATAAATATAATACTGGTAGGCAGAAGTGAGATATCATCAGGAGGTGAGAGGATCAGTAGTTTTCCTCGGCGTGTGCAGCTCAATCGTCCCGCTCAGCAGAGAAACACGGCTTCCATAACAACTCCGCTTCATTTTCCTACAGATATGCAGGCCACACAGAAACATACTCTGACTTGTCTGATCAGTCTGCACAAGCCTCATTTATTGGATGTAAAGACAGGCAACGCTTTCTTTCCCCAAACACAGAGTCAAATTATTCAGTGAAGAAGCTGCCAGTGGTAGAAAAGTGAGATAAAAAGTAGATTTATTCCACGCAGAAAGAGACGCAAAAGCCTTAAACAGTCCAGTATTTCTGTAAAAGTTTGATTCACATCTCAAAAATCTTGTTGTTTCTTCCTCATTTGAAATACATTTCCTTTAGTTTGTTGTTTCTCTACAGTAAATCCCTTAAAAAGACCAGAAACCACAGGATATGGGACACACTGTCTGTGCAGCCATAACACAATGCAGCTCAGTCCTCAGAGTAACAAAGCCATGACACACAGTTGGACAACAGCCTATAAAAACACATAACAGACTATCCTGCTAAACCAGTCCAGTTTAGAAACTTCCAGATTTAATAATTCATTTAAACCATTTTCATGTGATCTTTTTTGTTTAAAAGAGCAACAAAAGCCACAGACAGACAGTGATTCCCACCTGCAAGCTGCTAAGGTCTTTTTTTTTTAAATCTACACAACTAGAAATTCAGGGATTCATTATTGGGGTTTGAGGCTGCTCAGTCTCTTTCAGGAAATACAATAATACTCCATACAGTGATAAAAAGCCTGTTCCAGTGAATCAAGAGACATCATTAAATGTTCTTCTGATTTATATATTCTTAAAGCATGTTCTAATAAATTTCTTATTTGACTTCAGCTCCAGGTGATATGTCTGGGAGGGGAGGAAGCAGCATTTCTCCACTCTTCATGTAAATCAAGTAAATCCCTAAAACGCTTGTTTTCCCTTTAAGCAGAGAGATATGAATGGAAAACTCATCCAAACCCTGAAGTGTTTTCTTTCACTAATTTCACTCCGTATTCCAAATAAAGCTTAAGTGTTTTGCTTTCACGCTTTCTGCATGGTCTACAGACCCCAAAGAAAAGCCTACGTTAAATTAAAGTGGCATCCGACCGAGACAGAAATAACAATCCCAGACTCAGCAGATTTTTCCAGAACTCCATCCACAGACCTGCTACATGTCAGGGGAGGCGGGGTGATTCGGAGAGAGAGGCAGTGAGAGGACAGCCATGGATAGGTCGAGTTTGACTCTGTTTAAACAGCGGAGCTGTGAGGTCGACGGTGTCAGAAGCAGTTGGATTTCATCACCACACAGCACAGGTCGCCCAGTGGGAAAAGAAAACAGTCAGTGGAACCCACGGTGCCACAGGAAGCCGAGCAGAGTGGGCGGTTTAATCACAAACACAGTTCACACACATCTTCATATGAGGCTAAAGCTATCGTGTCTACAGTGTACTGCATGTTCGCATGTGACAGGTTTCCAGTTTACGACTTTTAAATAATTCGGTCAACATCACTTCCAGTTCAAACCATCAAAAACTGTACTGGTTTTAATATTTCACAGGTTAGTTTGTTTTTATCTTCACAAGACACAAGCGGGGTGATAATGAGCAAACCTTTTCAATGTTAGGATGACTAGCTTGAATTTGGCCAAACATTTTAAATTCACAGATAGCCCTTAATTAGATCACTCCAATTAAACCACAAATTAGACGTGTAGCAGCTCTTTTGGCTCTGGTCTGCCACCGGCCATCAGATTCAAGTCATCACCAATCACAGACTCATGCTTAAATTGATTTCCCCCTCTTGTATTTAGTCCTGTGGTTGAAAATCAGTGCAGTTTTACTGGTCGCTCGGAAATATACAAAAACTGAGGCCCGGACGGTTGAAGCTCCTGCACCCAGTGATTACCAGATACCACTGGAGCGGCCGCCAGGAGGGGCCAGGATCCGAGCCGAGGACCTCTTCGGGATGTGGTCGTCAACCTGAGACCCTGAGACGAAAACACAATGTGCTCATAAATATTCTTACAAGTGGAAAACTATTAAAACCCACCAAAATGACCAGTGTTACCTGAGAGGCTGAAGGAGGACTCGTGGAGGTCTCGGACTCCTTGGTGCCCCCGAGGACAGGGTTTGTTTGGTGACTCTCCATCTATGGGGCCCAAACCGAGCTCTTTCTTCATTGCGTTTGCAACCTTGGCCACGTCACCAGCATACGGATCCCTGACAACGCCTTTATAAGCCTGAGTCTGAAACACAGAGCAGAGAGTAAGAATAACTCACCAGAGATAAAATCAGATCAGGTCTTGGAGCAGTTTTAAACCAATCAACTAACGGTACATCCACCCATTCATTATCGCAACCGCTTTAGTTAGTAGTCTAACTAAGGGTACATTTACAGTTTATTTAGAAGGTATGCTCTTGGATTATGAGTATTTAAAGAGTGATCGATACCCTCCGCTCCATAAACAAGCAGCACAAATTAAATGGCGTGCATCTACCGGTAAGTCTAAATCCAGCTCACAGAGACCAGAGCAGAGCCTTGCAGTGGCTGAGGGGTGGAATGGTTTACAGGCAGCTGCAGCAGAAAAACGGCGTCAGCGTACAAAGAGAGCATTACCATTAAATCCTTTACATGGACAGTCAGACACATCGTGGTGGGTGTGTTTGCAGGGCTTCGCTGCCAGCTGACGCAGCAGAGGACAGCCTGAGTCCGGCCCTAACCCATCCTGGCTCAACTACATCTGCACGACCTGACCCAGTCAGAAACATGCTGAACTCACCTTTTCTCGCTGGACCATCTTCTTGTAGAGGAAGTCGGGGAAAGTGCGCTGCGGATAGAACTTTCCAGAGCCCTCGGCGCACATGAACACGCCATTTTCACACACCAAACGGCCCCGGCTGATGGTGACCAGAGGAACACCGTGGCAGCGCAGCCCCTCGTACAGGTTGAAGTCTCCGCCCTGCACCTGAGTGCTCACAGAGATCGTCCTGCACACAGAGACACCCCTGCCTCAGTGGGCTGTGCGCATTATCCCACATCATCACTGTGTGTTTAAATCTAAACACAGTTCACCTGGTTGCGTCCGGGTCCCAAACCACCACATCAGCGTCAGCTCCTGGGATGATGCGGCCTTTACGTGGGTACAGATTGTAGATCTTTGCTGCGTTTGAGCTGGTCACAGCCACAAAACAGTTCTCATCCATTTTGCCTGTAACCTGCAGAGTCGAAGCAACAATGATAATTCCATTAATCTGACGTTCAATAAGAAGAATGATTGGCATGCTTTGTTTGGGGAAATCAGTTATCTGTTATCTGTGGCAGAGTTTTAAGAGACGAGGTTTTTGTGTGGACGTACCACTGCCCTCTCCCAAATGACGCTCATCCTGTCCTGAACTCCAGCCACTCCATGAGGGATCTTAGTGAAGTCCTCTTTGCCCAAAGCTCTCTGCTTGGTGCTGAAAGGACGATGCTCCGATGCCACAACGCTCAGAGTGTCACTGTAAACAGAATCAACACCTTTAGTGACGAGAAAGACAACATCCAAGCATGCTGAGTGAATTCCTTCCAGGAGCGTGGTCTGGATACAAAGTGCAGATGACAGGCGTCAGCACAGCACTCTTACTTTCCCAGCAGGCCCATGAGGTAGCTGGGTGTGTTTGGGTCGAGGCGGAGAGGAGGGACGACTACGTGGGCCGCAGCATGGGCCCAGTCCTGGTGGTAATACTGCATCCCGTTCAGCACGGCGTGAGCCACTGTGGTCTCAGCATGGACCACCTTTCCTGTAGGGCCCACAATGATCAACCTGTTTGTGATCATTACCATTACTTGGATTACCTTTTATTAGACAAGTACCCACCCTGCATCTTAGCAGCAGCAATCATGTCTCCAGCAGATATACTGGACACATTCACAAGGTATATGGGGCAGTGGGCCTGCAAGCACAAATACATCCAGTTACCCATCCAGTCATTCAGTAATCGACAACAACACATAGCACCGAAGGAAGGTCATCCTTACCCTGTTGGCAATGGTGATGGCTCTGTGAGTAGCTTCCGATTCAAGCTGCAATCACCAAGGCAAAGTGAACAGTTTACTAAGAGCACAGAGGAAATTACCTCACTCAGGTCACTTTAACTACTGCACCAAACCACCTCCTCTGTCCTCACATGAACCACAGAACAGCAGTTCACGCACACCAAACTAAACCCACTTCAGTGCTTACAGAACTGAATATAATAAATCTTTAATACCTTTCCCCCTCTCCAAAAATTACCTCCTCTGGTCGACTGATTTCTATGCCCTCTGGTCCACTGATGCCCAAATCTAGAGCTTCTTTGGCACCCTAAAGAACAGATTCAAACATAACAGAGTCTCCTTTCAGCGTCTGTATGCTAAACATCTGGCATTAAGGAAAAGAATGGGATGAATAACGTGATTGTGCCTTTCACCTCTGCCACCAGCTCGCCGTTTTCGGCATGGACCCGTGCGATGGCACCGATATCCTTACAGGTCTGCAGGGTCTGATACAACTCTGAATCCCGGAGCATCATCAGGTCTTTGTAGGCCATGAACATCTGGAAGGAGTTCACTCCATGCTCCCTGACGAGGGTCTCCATCTCATTACGGACCTGTTCAGAGTTCAGAGATTGGGGTCATGGATCGGCGCTGAAGCTGATGGAGTGTATCAGTCTGTCTGAAAGAGGCTGCGTGCCTGTGTATTAGTTTTATGGAGCATGAAATGAGCTTGGTAAGCAGCCAGAATGAGATCACATCAACACAGACATTCGACACACAGAAAAAGGCCTCCATTTCACTCAATTCATCTCAATTCATTCATCTATTGAGTCTACTGTGATACGCTGTGATAATGGGGTTTAGAGATCATAATAAACAGATATTTTATTTATTTCTTTTTTATCTTAACAAGAGTAAGCAGAATATTATGAATCGATCCATCAGCATTAAAAGACTTCTCAATAAAGAGGAAGCTAAAGATATAAGGTGAAAGACCCCTTGCAGTCTGGTTTCACTGACGCTTTTTGGAAGTAAAAATTGAGTTAGAAAAAGTCAGACAAACAGACTCAGTAACACTTCTTTCCCTGGGCCATCAGTGACCTACACTAAATCACACGATTCACTCCGCGTCTTCTTCTCATCCCTATAAACCTCTACAGAGACTGAATGTTAAAACAAAATCCTTTTTATTACATAACAACCAGAAAAACAAACTTAACCTTTTTGGTGTGTGCAAAAGAAGGATGCAAATAACGAAACATGAACTTTTACAGTACCTTCTGTTTTTTCCTTAATAAATAAAATAGCAGATTTCCTATGTAGCATTAAGACTTAAATTTCCAGTGTTACTGTAAAAATGAATATCTTTCAATTAGGGTTAGCTAACAAACAGCATTGAATTGTAAGAATTTTCAGAGGAAAACAGAAATGAATAAACATAAGCTTTAGTTAAATTGTGTATTGATTTAATGAGGATATTAAAAACTGTTCTGTTACAGACACACGTTTTTAATAAGATGTGGCAGACGCACTCAGTCAGCAGATGATGCAGTGCAGACTGTAAAGCCAAAGGCCGAATAAGACTCATTGACTCATAGAATTTCTTTAATGTGCCCACTGAGCACATATATTAACCCAGTTCCTGTGATGTGTAATATAGGTCAAAACACATTAAACCCATACAAAAGATTTGGCTTTATTTGGCAAAAGGTTAATTTAGACAAACCATACCTACATCTCCAGTATTTTGGTTTGTTTTTTGACCTGTTATGGTCTCACCTTTGGCCCCCACCAGGTCACCCCGACATGCAGCGCGTAGTCGCAGCACGCCTTGGCGTCGGCTAAAGCTCGGCAGTTCTCGTAGGCCTCCAGCAGGGAGCAGTGCTGCTCAGGCAGGACCAGAGCCATCACCATGGTGGTGCCACCCATCAGAGCCGCCTAGGTGAGGGAGAGAAAGCACAATAAAGACACACTGATTAGAAAAGAAAACAATGATTCCACTGTAAAGCAAACAGACTCTGTTTGTCTGGTGACAATGGACTGTCTGTATGAGTTGATGTCTCATCATCAAATGGTCTTTTATTGACTGAAAAGTACAAACTGATCAGCCGAAAAACATTTCAGTTGGATGAAAGCAAGGCTGGGATGGTTGTTTAATGTTAAACATATAGCTATGATTATCAGGCATAAGAGAACATTCAGTATTGCACTCATGAAGGTTTGAGATTGCACTTAATGAAGATTGTTATGATACCCCCAAATAATGTCCATTTTACTTAATCTGAAGACACAAATAAGCTGCTTTTTGCCAAATGGGAGATAAAAAAGAAAATGTGAGGGCAAATTAAGTTAATGATAGAGCGGTTAATAATGAAGAAGATCGGAGAAAAGAAGAGAGAAAGAAAAAAAAGTAGTTCAAATAACTACAATGCGCAGCTGTCTGTTCGATTCATCTGAAACATGGTAAGTGCACTATTGAGTAGCCATGACAACGGATGCTGCTCAGCCATGCCTGTCAGATGTACCCATCCTTTTCCTCCTCCCCCTTATCTTGCCATCCCTTTCAATGTTCACTTCACCATCTTTCTTGGATATTAAAGTGTGGGCAGACCATATTCAAAAGATGAAGGAACAGATTTGTTGGAAGATAAAATGTCCTCTACCATCACAGACCTCACCAGATGCTTATGACAGAATAACGCGAGACACCATCACTTCTGCAACCTGAAAAATTTGATGAAACCATCTCCCTTGAATCACTCCACCAGACACCAATGGTCTCAGAGAAGAGGGCTGGGGGGCGGGGTGACTGTTTTTAAATGAAAGCTCAACCTGCCACTGAGCTATGAGGGTCTTCATTATCATAGAAAGCAGTCTGAATGATTTGCAGAGTCAGCACTGAAGGGAGACGTGTCATTGATCACTGTCAGTGTATGCTTATGCATGTGTGTGTGCATGAGGGGTGTGTGTGGAGCATATGGACTGTGGGATTTGGGCTGTCTGCCTGCATGGCCAAAATAAAAATGTATTGCCTCTCCATGTTAGTACCAGACTTCTCTCTGTGGAATAAAGAGCTGTCTCATTGTGGAGATGTTTAAGCTCTTCCTTTCCTCTTTGTGAAAAATAGATAGAAATTCACTAGAATTTAGATAAAAATACCAGCCTTGGAGATGTAAGAAATGCCATGTAATCGGTAGCTGGAAATAATACCACACACAGACACCGAGGATAAGATGACTCAACTGATGTGATAGTAGTGAAAGCTACTTTTTTATTCCTTTTTTGTTCCTTTTTATTCCTCTCACAGATTTTTTGTCTAAACATTTTGTTTTAACCTGCAAATTCCACTTAAACTAAAAGTGGGAACTTGTCAGTTAGAGGAGGCTGAATAAAGAATATTTCTATGGGTAAGCTAGGAATAAAATAAAAAAAAACACTCACTAAAACAACAAACTATTCAAAAAGACTTATCTTTGAATGTATCAAACAGTGTGTGTGAGACATGATGTAAGGGGATAAGAAAGGCTGTGAAAGGCTAGCAGAGTCAGGCAGATTACCTCAGATCAGCCTCTATCAGCACCACTCACACCTCACCTCCTTCCACCCCTCCCACCCCCAGCTCTACAGTCAGCAGAGACATTAACAGCATCTTTACTGCTGCCTGCTGGGACAGTATCAGTAGGCTTCATACCAGCAATGTAGCCTATTGCAATGTGATCAAACCAAGCCACTGATTATGTATTAAATCTGATGCTCCAGCTAGTCAAAACTCTAATTTGAAGGATGTTTCTGATCAGTGGTTCAAGACTGGCTGAGGATAACAATGGCAATATATCAAATTATGGTTATAAATATCTAATAGTATCGGCGTACGACAGAGGGCTTTCAAAACCAGTCCTGCATGTAGTTCCATCACATTCTAACTGTATACATGCTTTTTCTCTACTTCAACCCATCTGTTTAGTAACAGACTACAGGTAAGACTAGAAATCATATAGTTTAGAAAGTTAAAACAACAGCAAAGAAAGAAAAACGGTGTACTTCCTGTACTTCTATACTGGTGACCACCATTTGTGTGTGCAGATGAAGCTTCTGCATCCCCATGATTTATTCAATAAGAGGTGCAACCCTTTTTTTATGTACTGCCCCACTTTTTGAACACTGGTGTTTTAAAATGGCAAATCATACACTGAGAGGAAATTGTGCCATTGCATTAAATGAGTTATTCTTTACATCAATGGACACTGTTTAGGAACTGGGAGCAGGAGAGACGGAAAGAAAGGAGAAATGGGGGTAAAAGTGCAACAAATCACAGTGGGGGGGGCTGCCAGAAATATTTTTGGGGTTCATATAGACTGAATGTGAGCTGTTGCCATGGAAACATGGTCACTATTGGTGCAACATAATACCACAGTGGTCATGTGTGCACAGTGAGAAGCAGACGTTTCCACGCTCAGAGTGGGGGTTAGTTACCATAGCAGCAAGGAAGATGTGTAAGCGATGGTGACCCTGGATGCTGTGGGGGGTTTGCTGGCACACATACGCTTTAGTCGTCCTCAAATTCCTCTCTGCACACATCAGCTGGCAATGCATTAAAGTCGGGCTTGATTTTAATGAGGCTGCAGCTGAACTAATCTGCAGCAAAATGATGCTCTGGCAGTGTGAAGAGGACGAGAGGTAGTCAACACGCTTTGGATCTTTGAAAGAAAATCCATAATATTCACTGGAATGCAACATCTAAAAATGGGTCACCAAAATGAATGTTTAGTGTTTGTCAGAAATCATAAGACAGGTGACTGAGCAGCAACGTAAAGGTCCTCAAATGTTGATGTGATATTGATAAAGAGATCAAAGCTGTGACTTTAAAACGGGTGACATGATGGCGCCTCTGAGAGAGTGTCAAATTAACCGCAAAACAACTGCCAACTAAACCTGAGACAGGAAATGATCAACACAAAGAGACCAACACGTCCTCCGAAACATGCCTTCCGACATCTACAGCCCCTCCTCTGACTCAGCCGCCTAATTATTAAATCCTCCTCCTTCTCAGTCTCAGAGGTTTAGTAGGACACAAGTAGAACATCAATGGATAATAATCTAACGAACATGATAAAGTGAAAACTGAACAGCTGTGTGTGTGTGTGTGTGTGTGTGTGTGTGTGTGTGTGTGTGATTTCAGCTGTTTTCTTCTTAAAGGACCAGTGTGAAAACATGTGTGGTAATTAGCCTAAAAGAATGGGTGATATTGAAAGCTCGGGGGGGGGGGGGGTATGACTGTTAACATGACGGGGACAGTAAGAGGGAAAGCATGTCCGACCATTACAGCTGTCTCTGGGCTCTCGGTGTGTTTATTCACAGGCATCCCAACCATGCGTGTGGGTGTGTGGGTGCACGTGGGTGCATGTGGGTGCACGTGGGTGCATGTGGGTGCACGTGGGTGCACGTGGGTGCACGTGGGTGTACCTTGGTGCCGCTGTAGAAGTCTTCCTGGATGCTGGCGTTCATGAATGTCTGCTGCATGTGCACGCTGGTGTCGATTCCGCCCGGCAACACCAGCTTCCCAGAGGCATCGATCACCTTCGCCCCACCTGGGATCATCAGCTCCTTTCCAACCTGCCCACCAACACAAGCAAACACGTCAGTGGACCCTCACGCACCGCAGCACAGACGGGCGGTGGGAGGTGGGCCGGTGCAGGAGTACAGCCGAGCTTTCCAGGTTTCTGAGTCAACCACAGCCTCTTCAAATAAAGTGATACTCATCTCCATGGCAACATTCTAAAGGCTAATTATAGTGTTGCGTGTTTTTTCCACAGAGTTTGGGTGGTTAAATGTCTTCGTAATGTAGTTGCTGGCTGTGTGCTGGACAGCGAATGGGCGGCTCAAAACCAAAATGCTCCACCCAGTGCTCTGTACTCCACCTGCTGAATGATGCCGTTCTCTATGTACACATCTGCTTCCTGGGTGAAGTCGTCATTGACCACCTTCCCTCCCTTGATGAGGATGCGCATTGACCCCATGTTAGCAGCCATTGTCCTGAAAGAAAAGAAAAATAGCAGATTAAAGAAAAAAAATCGATAGATAGCTCAGTCGTTCCTGGTCCTAAACCGATCGATCATACATAAAGCAGCAGGTGATCCATAATCAGACATCTTATGGTCTGAGTGTAGCTTTCATTGCGGCTGCATTACGTTCTCTAAATTATTTTATGCCTCTTTATCTCAGGAGATGGACAACTTCTTCAAGGATTGACTGTCAGCTCTATCTTTAATTATTTAAGAATATAATCTATCATTTACAAATCTATTACACTATTTGCAGGGAATAGAAAAGAGTCTACAAATCATGTGCCAGCTTCCAGATGAACTGCTCCAACCTGGCTTTACATTTCCAGCGACAAACTTCCTGTTTTCTTTCTGTTTTAAAAACCTACTGATGGCACACAAACAAATCAGTAAAAGCAGGTTAATGGCTGTGAGTTATACCTCTGCTTTCTAAAGGACAAGGAATTTTAATCAAGGCACACAAACACACTAATTAACATAAACTGAGGCATTTCTGCTGGATCAGCACTTTACAGAAAGACTTCCTGGGGTCCTGACATGCATAGTGATAACCTCAGGCAATGATAATCTGAGGCTAAACTACAATAACATCCTGCATTATTAATGTCTTCAGTTATCTGCACCAATCATGTCTTTAAAGTTATCTGATTAATATTGGAGGTCCTTTTTATTTTTTCCGAAAATCCTCGAACAATTAGCTTCACCTGCATCGTGTGCCCAAACCCGATGGGATGAACAAACTATGAACAAACGCCTCTCTGTGAGCATGTGTGTATTCTGCATGGATGACTGTGTGTAATGTGTTTGATGGAAAGACACAATGGCCTTCCAGTCACACAGATTCAACTCAATGAGGTGGCTGGAGAATAGAGAGAGGAAGGAGAGGGGTTGCAGAGGGGGGCAACTGGGAAGAAAGAGGACGGTGAACAGAATAATGAGCTGGGAAAATATCTGGAGCCTGGAATTTGTGACCAAACCAGAAGAGAGATGAAGACAGATGAATGAGAAGATGGGTAAAGGCACAAAGAATCAATAAAAAAAAAAGATGAGAGGATTTTCTCTCATCGAACCCAAAGATCTGTAGCTAGTGTCACTTCGATTTCCTGAAATGCACGGTTACCAAAGACATTAATACTTTGTGGGTTTGCTCCAAGCTGGCTGCCCGGCCTATTATTAGTGTTGAAAAGAAACAAATTGAAATTAGGTCAGAATCCGATGGAAGTTTAAGAGGACCGGGGGGCGGAGGGGGAGGCTGAAGACACGATCAGAGGGTCCAAACAGCTGGAGGCAAAGAATTAAGTTTGTCAAGATAAATAAACTACTCCTCTTCTTCTGCACTCTCCTATCAGCAGAGAGGAGGTGATTGTGCAGAGATGATGGCTGATGGTGATGGTGGGAGGTGTGCAGTATGGAAAGCGGGGCCCTGAGGGCCCTGGGGGCCTGGCAGCCACTGCGAAAGACTGGTTTCCCCGGAGACGTGAATGGGAGTGCTTTCAATGGAGCGCAGACAACACACAAACACACACAAGACACACAAACAATGTCAACTTCAGTGGTTTTAGACATGCACTGTAGTGTACAGTTTTAGCGGGGGGGGGGGGGGGGGA